ATCATTAGAAAAGTTTTTGAAAATCAATAATATTTTCAATTTATTTAAAGCATTTATCAAATTATTCAAGCATGCTTCCTGATTGAGAAACAATATAGTATAATCATAAAGAGTCTGTCAGTGACGAATGTCTACAAGTTATAAAAACCAAGACACAAGCAATCGAAGCTTTTCTCAGATTTTCTTATGATCTAGAAATTGTGCTACTTAAAATAGGCTTGGCATTCATGCCCATAAGTTAAATTTTTTTCCAGAGATTTTCTTCTATTTGCTTAAATCATTGTTTCCAATATTTATATGAACTACAAACAGATTCCTACATTAGTTAGGAAATTATACATAATGGTGTGCAAGTACTTTCAAATAAAACCTGACACATACCTGTTATTCCAAGACATTTAATATAAGTACCTGTTACAAAAAAAAAAAAAAAGGCACCATGGTTACACATGAACAGTTAAACATTAGGAAGGAGAAAATGAAATGAAATGAAATGAGTATAATTCATAAGAACTACAAAAGGCATACTGTTTGGTGGAAAATTCGTGTTATCCTTTACATGGGGAACACCCAGAAGGAAAAATATAAAGCTGTCTAGATATGATTATAATGCATACTTCATTGGTCCTAATCTACAATGTTAAATAAAGCCTGGTTAAGTGATATCAAGGCAAAAACAAAGAATGAAAGAACATTGAGTAGCAGAAGAGCGTAGAAAAGGGTATTTTTCATATAAAATGAATAAGTAAAGAGATGTCAAGAAGTTTATAAATACTTACATCTCGTCCAATGAAAGTTTATATGAAAAGATGCAGGTTTTGTTATTCAAGGAGAACCAATCCTTATCCAGTTCAAAGCCCTCTAGCAACTTATGGTAAATAGCTGAAGCCGATAGACATGTGATATTAGAGAAAAAATCAGAAATTAGGCTTCAATTGTGCACAACTCATTGAAATCAGATACCTGTGCTAGTTCATTGAAGACAAAGAAGTAACTATATGGAGAGAAAGAGCTATTGGTACAAGCAGAGGCATCAACATAGAGTGATGAATTCATCTGTATATTGCAATTTAAAACATACACAAGATAGTTAGAAAGAAGCATTTTCCAACAAGCGCCTTCAAAAAGAAGGGAACTGTGAGGAATGGAGCAGATATCCCTCTGAAGACTGGCATCAACCAGTCGAACACTAGAGTTTGTGATGTTCTCAACAAAGAATTTCCCATCTTTTGTGACCAAAGTTGTGCAATTATTATCGCATACTAGTTCATACCCTGGCTCACCACACTCAACAAGATCACTATTTAATCGAAAAGGGTATGTAATACTAAAGTTTCCACAAGAAGAAAAAGGGAGGCAAGCCTTGTATTTAGCTCTAGCCATACAAGCATCAGGAAAGAAAGAGAAAGAAAGGACCATGAGGCTGAAAAATACTTCAAGTTTTGCTCTTAACATCCTAAAGCTTGAGCAGGAGGGAAAACAAATGATAACAGAAAAAAAAAATTTTTTTTTCTTTATATGGATAGCAATTAGCACTTCAATTCAAGGTGGGTAATTCTGAGAGGCAATAAAGCAAACACCTTCAATGCATTCTTCCTCAACTGTTAAGATGAACATATATAGAAAGCATTCAAGTTGTTGGAACATGACTCTTGCATCCCATAAGTTAAAAAAATCCATTATTCTCAATGGAAGATTGAAAATACTTTCCATCAAGTTGCAGTATAATCTAAACTAGTGGAGTCAAAAATGGCTCTTGATTCCCGATTTTAAAACTCTATCAATATTTCTATATTTGGCATTCTCTAATCATAGAATCGGACGAGGCTTCTGTGCTGGGACCCGACGAAACGAAAGGTGTCTTTTAAAAATAATGGGTGAAAAATGTCAAATTTAGTCACTAAGCTTATGAGAGGATTTCAATTGAGTCATTAATCTTTAATTGAGGTCAATTGGCAAGCAATTCAAAGAAGGGCTAAAAACATATTTGAACCTTGATCAAGAGATCATAGAAGTGGAGGTACCTCTATGACATAATTCATAGAGAATGCAATTTTTATAGTTTGACTTAAGGTAGAATATAATAAATTAATCATTGATTTTAGAAGAGAAATGCCCCACATTTAATGGCCCTCTCCTATTAGTAGTTATAGTTGTGTAGTTTGTATCATGTGAGATTACACAATACTTTTCCATAATTCATAACGCATCATTAGATTTATTAAAATCATAGAGGTATATATTCATTAAAAAAAGATTATGCACAAAATGGCTAGCGTTCTAAAAGATTGGATGCAAAATTAAATTCACCCTGTTTGCAAGACACATGATTGAAATCATTTAAAAGGAGAAAGTCAAGAATGTCCTGCTGGCTTAGGACATGTTTGGTTGAGTTCCCAAGTATTTCAATTTTTTGATATTATTTATATTTCATAAATTTAAATTTTTTTCTTAAAAACTTATATTTTTAAACTTTTTTTAACTTTAAAAAGATCTCAAACAATAAAAGTTTAAAAGTTTCAAATCCAAACTTTTCATAAACTTTTTTTTTACTTACTTTTTACTCATTTTTTTCTATATTTAAAAACAACTTTTAAATTTTTGCTCTAATAAAAATTTAAACTTATTACTCATAAACAATACAAAAAAATAAAAACTCTTATAAACTAACCCAAACATGCTCTTAATCCTGTGTAAGGGACTTCTCCTATAAATTTGGTGGTGTGAGTTTGAGTCTCACCCAACATTTAAAAAACAAAAAAATAGAGTCCAAAATTCAACTTCAAAGAAAGACAATAAAGAAATACGGTAAAGGAGCGTCCACCTTTGAAAAGTCAAAATAAGTTCTCGTCAAAATTTCTCAACTTGAACATCTTCTCCTTTCTCATTTTTGGTATTATGTATCCCAAACCCAAACCCAAACCCAAACCCAAACTCAAATCCCATTGGATTTGGATTCAATTTTTCAGAGATGGAAAGCTTCTTCAAGAACGCTGTTTTTCTCTTCTGCTTTCTCTTTGTAGCGAAGGTTGCAGAGCTCCAAGATGCCAAAGATGAATGCCAAACCAAAAAGTGCAACCACCATACCATCCGGTTCCCGTTCTGGCTAACGGGACAACAACCGGAACATTGCGGCTATCATGGGTTTGAACTCTCCTGCGAAGACAAGCAGACTGTGCTCGAGTTGCCATGGAATGTAAAGTTGTTCGTGAAGCGTATAGATTACAAAGCAAAGAGGATTCAGTTATATGATCCTCAGGGTTGCCTTCCCCTGCAACTTCCCAATCTCAATTTATCAGCATCTCCCTTTCAGTACTTGAGACAAACTCCCTTCTCGTTCAATTATGCGGAGTCAAAGTACAATCTTTTCAACTGTTCAAGGGAAGCAACTGTGGCCTGTGGGTATTAATTATGAATTTTACGAGATTCCTTGCTTAAGCGTCCCAGGCTTCCAAGTTCTAGCTTTTCCTTCCAATTATACACATGCTTTTAACTTGTTAGGTTGAAGGAGAACGTTACTCAACATATCGCAGATAGCAGTATACGAAGAAATGTTGTATTACCAGACAGGGGATGTTCATTTGAGTTGGTCCCAACTAGATTGTAGTAAATGTGAAGAAGTAGGCAGCAAATGCAAGCTGAAGAATAATAATAGGACACAGGATGACACAGAGTGTTATGGTACCACCAAGAATCAATGAGGTATGCTTTTACATAAATGCTATTATGACTCGCATGTGGATTCATGAATGATATTTTGGTCATTCCCAAACAAACTGACGCTTTTTAGACAGTCTTGACTTAAAAACCACAACCTTATACTTTTAACTATTCCACAATGTTATGAATACTCCTTGCAATGCTCACTAATTTAGCTGTTTTTAATTTTGCATTGTTTTAAGTTGTTAAAATTTTTCCTGACTTTAGTTGTTCAATTGCCTTGGTGTTGTTCTTTTGGTACTTTGGTTTTGACTTGCTTTTATATGGTATCTCTCTCTTTCTTTCTTTCTTTCTTTCTTCCTTTTATTTATTTATTTATTTAATTATTTAATTTTGATTTGATAAACACATCAAGCTGCTGATTGTTGAAACGTTTTGCAGTTATGCGAAAAATGCTATTGGTTGCGGGCATAATCCTAGGTTTCGGTCTATTTGTAATAATCCCCATTGGACTTCACCGTGTGCACCACTCATATATGATCAAAGAAAGAGGGCCAACTCAAGATTGAAAATTTTCTAGAGGATTACAAAACCCCCGGGCCCTCAAGATATTCTTATGCTGATACCTAGAGAATAACATATCAGTTCAAGGACAAACCAGGAGAAGGTGCTCATAGAACTGTTTTCAAAGGAAGGCTTTCCAATGATGTTTTAGTTGCTGTTAAGGTCCTCAACAATTTCAAAGCAACTGGAGAAGAATTAATTAATGAAGTTGGATCAGTGTGTAGAATCCATCATGTCAATGTCACTCGCTTGATTGGATTTTGTGCAGATGGAAATAAAAGAGCTCATGTTTACAAGTACATGCCAAATGAATCATTGGAAAAGTTTATCTTTGCAACCAGAGACCAAAGTCGTTCCCTCAGTTGAGAGAATCTTCAAGATATTGCAATAGGAATAGCAAAAGGAACTGAGTACCTACACCGAGATTGTGATAAAAAAATCCTTCATTTTGACATCAAGCCTCACAATATCTTGCCAGACCATAACTTCAATCCTAAGATCTCCAACTTTGGTCTAGCAAAGCTGTGTCCCAAGGAACAAAATGCTTACTGTTTAGGAACTTTGGAAAAGTGTCATATAAATCAGATGTTTATAGCTTTGGAATGCTATTGTTGGAAATGGTAGGAGGGAGGAAGAATATTGACATCACAGTGGGGAGTACAAGCCAAGTTTATTTCCCAGAATGGGTGTATAATTGCTTGGAGAAAGGAGAAGTGCTGGGGATTAGAATAGAAAATGAGGGCCATGCCAAGATAGCAAGAAAACTTACAATTGTTGGACTTTGGTGCATCCAGTGGTACCCAACAGACCGACCATCAATGAAATCAGTGGTTCATATGTTGGAAGGAGAAGCAGACAGTTTGACAATGCCACCAAATCCCTTTGGCCATGTAGATGGAGCGCAGACAAGTGCCAACATCCCTAGGAGACCAATTAACCGAGAATTAGCAGTAATCTCTGAATTAGAATGATGGAAATTCTTTCTATTCTACACCTTTTTTTTAATGTTTTCTAAATAATCGTACTACAGAATGAAATTTATAGTAATTGTGCTAAAGTATGAAACTTTTAATAATTATACCATATGAATCCCCTAGTTGAAGGAGAGTTTGGATTTTTATTTTAATCTAGTAACAATTTTAGTTAACAATGCAAGGACAAGATATTAATCTCTTTGTTTCAATGAAAGGCTACAATCTGAAATGGAAGCATCAGAAAAATATGAAAACTGTAAAACTATTAGAAGGCAAAATGTCCAGAGAAGGAAAGCAACACCAGGCATATGCAAAAATCTAAAATCATGACTTCACAAGTAAGGAGGAATTTAC